TTTTTGAGACCAGGTCTTGCTCTGTTCAGGCTGGCCTTCAACTCACTTTGTAGCCCAGGCTGGCTTCACACTCACAGCAATCCTCCTGCCTCAACCTCCCAAGTGTTGGGATTATAGGCATGCGCCACCATGCCTGCTTTATAATATATTTTAATTCAGCTTTAAAATCCAAAAGTTTCGGCCAGGAATGATGGCACGCGCCTATAAATCCTACCAGTCTGGGAGGCTGAGTAAGGAGGATTATAACCCTGGCCTAGGCAATTTAGTGCCTTCATGAAACCCTGTCTCAAAAGGTGGGGGGAGGGCTGGGGATGTAGCTCAGTTGGGCTCACTGGGCACAATCTCTTAATACCACAAAAACAAAACAAAACACCCTGAAGTTACATTTATTCATTTATTTATTTTAAAATTTTTTTGAGACAGGGTCTTACTATGTAGTCCAGGCTGGTCTTGAACTCACTATGGAGCCCAGTCTGGCCTCAAACTTGCAGCATTCCTCCTGCCTCAGCCTCCTCAGTGTTGGGATTACAGCACCATCACACCTGGCTAAAGCTGGATTTAACAAGTGAATGAACTACTGGCCAGACAGTCAAAAATTCATGGTAGGAACTCTTGACAGATGGATTGTGACCTATGCTAAGAAATGGACTTTAGTTCATCTCCATAAACTCTCTTCAAAAACCTTGGACATTCTCAGATTCAGGATATTCGACATTCTCAGATTCAGGATAACACAGAGAACTGGCCTTCCATCTCAGAATGGATTAGAACTGCTGCTATCTACCGAGTGGGCACTAAATTCTTGGGCCAACACCAGTCTTTTCTATGTCACTAAACTCTCCAAAAGCTAGAAAGTTGTCTTTAAGGAAATAAAAATCACTCATTCTAAACTTTAAAGAGAAATTCCTAAAAGGTGACTTTTAAGGTGTGATCCATATTTCAATTTTTTAAAAAAGAAGTGGAAATCCTACAACCTTTGAACACACTGAAGTGGTTATTCTCCAAGAACTGATTAAAACTTGGTTGTTTTTCTGGGGCTTAACTTGTTCCATATTCTTCAGGAAAGAGGAGAATGTGGACAACAGCTGGAAACATCTTTAAAATAGCTCAACTGCAGTTCTGCCATGGCTGGTATTCAGGAAGATAAAGGGCAACATTCTAAATATATATATGTTGAGGAGAGAAATTACCTTACATATCCTAAAATAGTTTTCATTCAATAATTTATATAATGAATCCATTCAAACATATGCAAAGTATTATACTTTGATATAGTATGCAATGAATTACTTAGGAAATTATCCTTACTCTATTTATTATAAGTCTAGCTTAACTTCTGTTTATCGGATAAGTCATAGTAAAGAATGGCTTTATGCCATTATGGCTTTCCTCATGACAGCTCATCCTGCTTTCTCCAGGGTTTGCTTATCTTGCTTTTCCTCTTTTATTCAGCCTAAGCTTGCTCTACAGACCCAGTTATTCCCTCTCTCATTCTTCACTTTTACTTTTCAAATAAACTTAAAAAAAAAAAATGGCTTTATGAGCTTCATAGGGAGATATGTAAGTGAAATGAGTAAATCTAAATATTTCACAATAAAAACAAATATTTCACAATAGTAAAATATAAAGTAATATAATTTCTAGCTAATTATGAGCTTTATATTTGTGTCAATAAAAATTACACTTGTATTCCCAGACGGGGAGCATCTGCACAGTACTCGTGTAACATACTGAGCACTGGAAATGTGTATTTTCAATTTGAGGCCACTACCTATTACATGAGGGTTAAGCCTCAATGAGACAAGTGTATGAACAGCACACATCCAATACCCAGAATAACTGCCATTATTTTTAGACAAAACTAGTTACTAGAGTCAATATACTTACAAGAGATAGCAGCAAACTGAACAGGTCACCAACATGGTGATGATAACTCTAAAAAAGGAAAATACAAATGTCATTAGTTAACTAGCAAGTTGTATAAAATGGTTTAAGTCCCTTCCCATGTTATTAAACCACCACAGATGGTACACCATGAAAGCAGACTCAAATCTGTTCAAATATCCAACAGACTACAATATACCTGAGGGTGTACTTGGTAGAAGTTTAAATACAAAAACATCTGTATATAAAGGGTATGTGTTGATGGAATGGCTCAAATGTCCACATCAAACTCATCTGAAACTGAAAGGTCTGTAGTGACAGTTCTGACACCCAAGTAACTACTCCATTTGGTAGTACTCTCCACAGGGAGTTAACAGTGCAGCTCTAAACTATGCTCTCTAGTATTGACCTCTCCTCTTTCTCTATTTGTGTCTGAAAGTTACATGCAGATCTCTGATCAGCTGAATTTCAACACTTTTAAAACAGAACTCAGGCCCTCGGCCTTGCAGGCCCCGAGGTGGTGCACGCTGACCCTCAGGCCAGCCACCACCGCACAATTCAGAACTATCATAACACACAGAAGCAATGACACAATTGGCCTACCATGTACTGGCTGTGAAGGCCCGCCCGCAGACGTGCATGAATCATTCCAACATGGAGAAACCCCTGGGAATATGTGCCACACAATGGGTCACTCTTGCCCCTGCCGTTGAGAACCAGAAAGGTCCAGAGTCAGCGGAGGAGCAGCTGCTGAACAAAGACTCAGAGAACACGAGAGTACAGACCAATCCTGAAGAGTCAGAGGCCTAGTGGACTGGGTCATGAGAGCCATTTGGAAGCTGCAAACCAGGAGGACCTTGTGCAATTCCTGGGGACACCCCCTGGAAGCCGTTTTTCCCCTGACAGTACAGGGCTGTGGTGGAGGAGTGTGTGGAGGACTGGGGAGGTCTGCAGCGAGATTCCTGCTGCCTGTGCTGACAGTAGGGGAGAGGACACTAACTGGTTGTGGGGTCCCAATGCGATGGGAGGCTGGAGAGAAAAAGCTACAAAAAATGGCTTTCGCCCCAGATGGCTCACTTGAGACGTTAGTAAGAATTGCCTCCTCAGTATTCTATATCTGTGAAGAGGAGGAGGCCAAGGAGAGAAAACAAGGAGACTGAGAAAAAGCAGCTGCTTTTGCTGCAGCACTAAGAGAAACAGACCCTAAGTCTGATTCCCAGGGCGCCAAGAAGAACTTGACAACTGCATTCACCTTCTACTGCTATTAAAAGCCAGCCCACCTCAAGAGGAACTGCCCTAAGAGGCCCCATGGGCCATGCCCTGAATGCAAAGGTGACCATTGGAGATCTGTCTGCCCTCTGAAGTGGAGGCCCCAGAGTTCAGACCCATTCTACCAGTTAGTCCAACAGAAATGAGGGGGCCCGGGGCACACTCTGCCTCCTCCCTCTGGCCAGACTGTCATCTCCATGGAGGAGCTCCGGGTAATCATGACTATGGGGGAACAAGAAAATAGCCTGTTGCTAAACACAGGTGCAAGTCTCTCAGTCCTTCTTTTCAATCCTGGCCTTCCTTCCCCCCATCACACCTCAGTGAAAGGAGTCACTGGTAAGGAGGTAATACGCTATTTTTGACAACCCTTAGGCTGTAACTACTTGTTAGATCCTTCTTGCATATCTCTGTCTTCCTGAGAAACCACTTGGAAGATACCACCATGTATTACAGCAGCCATTGATATTTTCCTACTAATTTGTCCATAGTTCTGTAATGTTTGTATTGTTCCTATCCTATTTCATAAATGGATGTATGTTTATTATTATGTGTTTCCTACAACAATCATTGAGAATAGTTAATGATTATTCAATGGGTCACTCATAAATAGCTCTATTTATTTTCTTTAGAAGCCACTTTGAAGATACCAAAGTATAGTACAACAGCTATTGATAATCTCCTACCTCTTTTGTCTGTAACTCCTACCTCTCTTGTCTATTATTTGTCTATTTGTTTTCCAGAGAAACTATCTTGTAGATAGCAATATGTAAAACAATAACCACTGATGATTTCCTACCACTTTGTCTGTAATTTGGTAAGCCCCCCATTATTATGTTATCCTTCTTTTACTCTTTAAAATAAAAATTAAAGAAAAATTTAAAAATAAAACAACTCATGACATTCTATTTTTTCCCAAAAACTCCCTTTCTAAACCAGGCATCGTGGCACACGCCTATAATCCCAGCATTTGGGAGGCTGAGGCAGGAGGATTGCTGAGTCTGAGGCTAGCCTGGGCGATATATTGAGTTTAAGGCTAGCCTGAACTACATAGTGAAACCCTGTCTCAAAACAAAGCAAAAACTCTTTCTAAACTTCTTATTACCCTCAGGGCTAGGGGTGTGGTAGTAGTAGATTGTGTGCTTAGCACATACACACACAAAAAAAATTCTCTGATTCCTCAGAAACAACTCCACCATTTCTAGCCCTCCCACCCACTCCTACATGTATCATCTTTTGCTCACCCCTTCTCTGTACCTCACCTTAATCATTGTCAACAAATGACCCTCTAAGACATCTTTCCCATAACTGGATTTCTGCCTTGCCATCCCCACTATCTGCAAAATTAACCAGCGTGGCTTAGTTAACTTATTGCTGCAGATTCAAAAGTCTTTTCCATCCCTTTCATTCTATCTGCAATCACTCAGATTCATCTATTCCTTTCATTGTATTTCACTGTATCACTCTCCAGCTTAAGACTTTTTAGTGGCCTCCCATCACACAGAGGAGTTATTTCCACAGAGGTATGTCCACACCCTCGGAGTGAGGAAGATTATCTCCTAGAACCTGCGAAGCAAGGCAAGTATGAGAAGCCCTGTTTTTTTATCTTGCCTTTTTAAGACAGGGTCTCACTATGCAGTTCAGGCTGGTTTTCAACTCATGTTGTAGCCCAGGCTGGCCTTGAACTTGCAAGGATCCTCCAGGCTCAGCCTCCCAAGTGCTCAGATTACAGGTGTGTGCCACCGTGCCTGGCTATTACATTTATCTTTAACTCATCTGTTAGATGTTTTGTGTGTGCATTTTTTCTGGTTAATCTACTGGCACATTCATCCATTCCACAGACTTACACTGAGTATCCAGGAGACGTGAACAAAGAAGGTTTTTTTTTTTTGTTTTGTTTTGGTCTTTTTGAGACAGGATGTTGCTATGCAGTTCAGGCTGGCCTTGAGCTCACTTTGTAGCCCAGGCTGGTCTCATACTTGCAAATATCCTCCTGCCTCAGGCTCCCCAGTGCTGGGATTACAGGCATGAGCCACCATGCCCGGCAAACAAAGACTTAAACTTCACCTTGCTCTCCTGAAGTTCACATGCTAGTTGGGGATGACAACAAACAAGATGAACATAAATAATAAATAGACAATATCATTAGTATGCCCGGTGGTCAGCAAGTGCTAAGGGAGGAAATAAAAAAGCAAAGGAACTTCTTACATGTGGACCAGGGTGAGTAGCTGCAATTTTAGAGGCAGCCAGGAAAAGGACTGCAGAGGGGTGGAATTTGAGTGCAGACTCACAGAAGGCAAGTGAGGGTTCTCAGGAGGGAGAACAGACAAAGATAGGAAGTGCAAGGATCACACTTGGTTCCAAGGAAAGAGGCCTATATGGCTGAAGCAAATCAAAGACAACTTGGTCAGAAGAGAGGTCAAAGAGCTACCACATAGGCTGGGAGAAGACTGAGTGAAAGGGAAGGATCTGAGGAAAGGACAGACAATCTGACTCCAATTCTAATAGGATTGCTCAACCTGCTTGAAAGAGACTGGAGGGAAGAGGGGCAAAGGAAAAAGAAAACTAGTTATGGTGAACTGCAATAATCCAAGTGGCTAAGGTTGGCAACAGATGATCAGATTCTAGATAGTATATTGTGAAGGCAGATTCTTTGAACTAATTTATATATTACACCTATAATACATAAGTATTACAAAGGTTTATGCTAAAAAGTTTGTTAACTGCACAATAAAAGTGAAGACCTATAGAATCACCTGCTCCTCACCTGTAATCAAAGCTCTCTACTCATCCTTCTCACCTCCCTCTACCTTCAGCCCTTCACACTTCAAAGCAGGTGCCTTCACTGTCCCCCGAAGTACATCATGTTTATCAGTCTTTTTTTTTCCCACTACTGGAGAATGAACCGTTTATGAGTTTTAACTCCAAGCTGCTGCTCATCTTTCCCTATACCTGTGCCCCAACCTAAAATCCATTCCCTGTCCTCTATTCCCCCAAAAGATCATCTCAGAGAGCTGAGACAGGGTCGGGGATCTAGTTCAGCAGCACAAGCACCTGCCTGGCAAGTGCAAGGTCCTGAGTTCGATTCTCCATATCAGAGCGCTGAGACACTACAGCTTTTCGGTATTACCCATGGGTATTAATAATTTCATATAAAAGTTCCCTATGTTACTTCCAAATGTGCTGCTGCTGCTCACACTGAGCCACATCCATGACTTTTTTTAAAAAATTCTGAGAGAGGGTCTTGCTAAGTCACTAAGTTGGCCAGGCTAAACTTGTGGCCCTCTTGCCTTAGCCTCCTAGAGTGCTAGGATTACAAGTCTGTGCCACCATGCCCAGCTCAAATGTGACTCTTCTTAGGGGCTGCATGCTTAAGTACTTAGGGGTTAAGAGTCACAAAGACAAGACAGGCATGGTGGTGCATGCCTGGAATCCCAGTACTTGGGAGCCTGAGGCAGCTGGATTGCTGCAAGTTTGAAGCCAGCCTGGGATATACAGCAAGACCCTGCTTCAAAAAACCAGAGTCCTAGAGACTGCGGTTTATCTACAAATAATTCAACAAAATCTGAAAAAGACATTTACATACATACTCATACGTGTTCACACATAAAGCCAATATGAATATGTTCTTGAATCTAGGTGGGGATAGATGGCACACATTTCACTGTTCTTCCTACTTTTACATATGTTTGAAAATGATGGAAACATTGCAGCTGACTGAATTTTTGGCACACCAATCCCTGTGCTCATTCCTCATCCCTTCCTCCACACCTGGTAGGGAGCCACTGTGAAAAAACTTCAAACTTTTATAGAGAATCTGTGGGTTCCTAAAAACAGAAACCATGAAGAACAGGAATGGTCAGGAAGGCTGCCTACATGCACAGGCTTGACTTGATCCCGCCCCTTTTCAGCTACAGAAAAGACTGAAAGAGCCTTTTGCTTTCAGCTAGCAGCAGGCCCGGAAGAAGCTTTTTCCTTCTGCCTTCTTCTCCTGCCTCTTCAGGCCCTTAACCTCCGAACAACCCAATTTTCCACAGTGTGGAAAGCAGGAGCCTCTTGGGGAAGAGGAGGCAACATCACAGTCCTTTGCCTTTTTCCCCTCTTACACAGCTAGCTCCTATACTATTTCCTTAATAAAGACTTTTAACACCTCAAATCAGACATAGCTGTTTCCTATATTAAAACTCATCACAGTCCATGATGCAGTACAGCTCCTTCATGTACTTCAAAATATTGTTTTTGATTTGCACAGGTAAAAGGGAACAGTGAGGAAATGGAAACATGAAAAGTTAACTGAACTGTCCAAGGTCGCAGAGGTCATCTACCTAGGACCGGTGTTTCTCAAAATGTAATCCTGTAACTCCAAGGAGGTACTGTTTCATGACCTGCTCAATCCTGCTAAGAACAAGAAATACAAGGACTGTGGTGGAAGCTGTGAATTGGACCCAGATAATGTATCACTAGCAGGTCAAATACCAGAATCATTACACTAGAGCTAGAAACTGAGTAGCCATCAGAGGGGTTTTTTTTTAACCTGGATAATAGGAGCAGCATCAAATCCAAACCCGAGGAGTGCAGTCTTTAAGAAAGGAGTTATGGGGGCAGAGGGGGAGCGCAGTGTGATTCAGTGACAGACTGCATGGTGTACAAGGCCCTGGATTCCATCCCCAGCACCAAAAAAAGAAAGGAGTGGTGACTACTGCCAGCACATTAATAGATGTTTTTCTGAGAATGAAGACAGAAAGGCAGTAATAAAACCACTGAAGATAACCTAACAAAGAAACATTTTGTGGTCTGCAACTCAAGAAGGAAAAACAGGTTTATTTAAATTTGGTTAATGAAAATTCTTTTAATAACCTTAGAATTCTGACACTGCAGCAACTATGATGCTGGCAGCAGTGGTATATGTCTGACTACTTGAGAGGCTGAGGTGGTAGGATTCCTTGAGATCTCCAGCTGCAGACCAGCCTGGGCAATACAGTGAGATTATTCACTTTAAAAAATAAATCTATACCTACTACAAGCTGGCGATATGACACTATATATCTGCTCAGAAAGCGGGAAAGTGAGACTTGATGCGTACAAATGATAGAAATTCGTCTACCATTTTTCCATTTAAAAAATGTGCAGCTTATTTTTAGGCTAAAAGAAGTAAAAAGCAAGTTATTGCAGAAAGCAGAGTAATAAAATTTCCTTTCCTTTAATGAAGGCAACAGAACTAACTACCCACTCAACACATACTTAGCGCCTACTGTGCACACAAAGTCCTGTGAAAGGAAGCACTAGAAAGCTACCAATGTTTTAAGGATTAACAGATAGTGTTTCTGACACACTCTGACATCAGTCCAAGTCACACTGCCCCATGATCTTGAACTGAGGGGGAAAAAATGATTAAAAAGTAAAAGAGGAACCAGAAAGAGGGTGCCCAAAGCTCCCTTGAAGACTGTATTTTATTTTATTTTTTGAAGACTATTTTATACTATATTTAAAAAGTTTACTTCCCAAACAGACAAAGTTCTTTTTTAAAAAAAGTCTGCGGGGGCACATCTTTCACAGTAGCATATTCTAAAGCACTTGTTACACTCACAACAAGGACAGCGTCCTCCGAAAGGTATGACGCAGGGTACCCTAAACAATACCGCCTGCTCGAGATCAGGCCCCAGCCCCCAGCTGGGGTCCATTACGTGTGAGGTCTGGGCTCGCTGTCCAACAAGCTAGTTCCGTACGCAACTGGACAGCAGGTGAGGCAGAGAGCAACTTTTGCTTTATTTACTCGATCCTTTAAAGTTCCAGCAAACAAGGCCTCGTGAGGGTGGAAGGCAAGGCCAAAGGGCCGGAAGTCGGCGAGAGATAAAGCCTAATTTCTGGCGTCCGTACAGAGTCCTTCCGGACGGCACTCTTCCCACCCAGACCCGTGAGGAAACAAATCTCCACACTCATTTCCAAGGAGAATCCGCCGAAAGTGACCCTCCTCGCACCCGGGCCGGGGACTCTGACGCTGCCGTGGTAAGATGACAGGGGGATAACAGGGGGCTCCACGCGGGTAGGAGGTGGAGGCCACGGTGCGAGGCCCCTCTCCCGGCCCCGGCCCCGGCCCCGGCCGGCGCTCACCGCGCGTCCCTGCCGCGGTGGCCTCGTGCACTTACCCCCGGTTGGGACCCTTAGGAATGAACCAGGGCACGACGAAGCCGACGAAGCCCCAGAACACGCTCATCACGATCAAAGGCACCGTGAGGCCGTGATACGCCATGACTGCAGCCGGAGTTGCCAGCCCCTTCCCGGCCGCCTCACTTCGGTCCCACCCGGAAGTGTCAACGCCGGGCCCCGTGACCAGCGCGCGCAAAGCCCCGCCTCTCGCGCCTCACGTAACCCGCGCGCGCCGGGCCCCGCCCCTCGGGTTCCAGAGCTCCGCCCTTACCCGGCCAGTGTCAGGGCCGCAATTGCTGAGAGAGTCGTAGCTCAGGCAAGAGCTAGGGATCTAGCTCTTCCTCCCCGCGTCCCCCGCCAGGAAGAGCTAGGGATCTAGCTCTTCCTCCCCGCGTCCCCCGCCAGGGCTTAGGAAAGTTTTCGATAAAGGCCCCTTAGGCAAAGTGTAGTTACTGACAACATGACTTTTTATGCAACAGACATGCAGAGAGCTTAACATAATAAATTACTATTCTGAATTCCTATGTACGGAGCGCTGGACTGTGAGCTTTTAGTACATGAGTTGCTTTTGAATTCCTTACTGCAGTCTATGAATTATAATTATTGTACCAACTTTGCAGCTGAAGAAGCTGAGGCCCGGAGAGGAGGTTAAGGCTCTTGTCCAAAGTTACATGGTGTCTTGGTTACTTTTCCCTCGTTGCTGAGACAAAATACCCAACTCCCAAAATGAAGGAAGGAAAGGTTTATTTAGCTCACAGTTTGTGGAGGTTTCAGTCCATACTTGGCTGGCTCTGAGGCAGAAGATAGCAAAGCAACAAGAGCAAAGAGGAATGGCAGCCGAACAGCAAACAGCCAGAGCAAAACTGGAGGAATGGCGGCAAGCAGCTTCTTTCTCTGCTTTACTTTGTAAACAGGCTACCCCCACCTAAGGGGCATGTAGCTCTCACATAATCTTTGCCCTCCTCTTTCACAGGCTCAGGATGTATACAAAGTAAGTATCCTGGCTTCCTGCTGAGTCACTTAGCCAAACCTCTAGACTCCCCAAGTTGACACAATGTTTCAACCATAACACATGGTAAGTGTTAAGGACCAGGATTCAATCATTAATGATCTGGGGTGTTGTGTTTTTCAGTTTTTTGAGACAGGGTCTCCTTATGTAGTTCAGGCTGGCCTTGAACTCACTATATGGCCCAGGCTGGCCTCTAACCCACAGTGATTCTCCTGCCTCAGCCTCCCAAATGCTGGGATTGTAGGCATGTGCCACCACACCCTAATGATCTAATTTTCAAAGGCAGAGCTCTTAAATATTGCACTATGGTATGTCTGGTGCACTATGCCAGGTTGTGGAGTGACAGCAGTCCTTCAGACAACCCCCAGAGAGTTCACACTCTGGGGAAGAGGTGGACCTGCAAAGTGCCACTGAATATAGTGTGAACGTAGAATGGCTGTTCATGTACACATAATACATACCTTTGCACACTAGCCAGTTTTCAGCTGGGTTTTGAAGCAGTAGGAACTGACCACTATAGTAAGAAGATAGACATAGAGTTTCTTGTCAAGATGCTTGCCAAGAATTGTCACACATGTAAACTATGGTATGCTACAACCTTAAAACAGAGGAAACCAATTCTCAGATGTTGAGATTGATGGTTTATAGAAAGCTGCATAGTGAGTTCAAGGCCAGCCTAAACTGCAGAACAAGCCAGCCATGGTGGCGCACACCTGTAATCTCAGCGCTTGGGAGGCTGAGGCAGGAGGATTGCTGCTGGTTTGAGACCAGCTTGCACTGCATAGTGAGTCCAGGCCAGCCTGAAGTAAATAGTGGGATTCCGTCTCAAAAAATAAACAAACAAAAAAACACCCCCAAACCAAAACCAAAATAAATAATAAATGATAAATAAACTGCATAACAAGACCATGTCTCCAAAAAAAAAAAAACCCAGAAGTAAAAATAAAGTTTATAGGAAGAAGCAAGATGCCGAACAGATCTATAAACTAAATCCAATGTGCTTTTCTGTGGTCTGGTTTCCCCGCAATAGCTACATTTCATTGCCTCACATTACCTCCTGATTTCTTTCTTCACCAAGTAAAATGGGTTCCTAAATTACGTGGAAAGTTGGACTAATAATCTCCAACATCTATGCCAACTTTTCAAACATATTTCTAAGCCTTTAACTGACCAATAATGCAGGAAACTAGTTGGTATTTTTTGTGCTCATATTGCTCCCTGTAAAACTTAGCAGAAATGTTGTGTTCTTAAATTCCAGTCCATATAGCCGGTCCTGGTGGCACACACCTGTAAACCCAGCACTTGGGAGGCTGAGGCAGGAGGATCATTGCGAGTTCCAGGCCAGCCTGGGCTACAAAGTAAGTTCAAGACCAGCCTGAACTGCGTAGTGAGACCCTGTCTCAAAAAAGACCAAAAAAAAAATTTTTTTCAGTCCAAGCACTGCCTTCTCCAAGACCCATTTCCTCCTGTTACTCCATCTCTTTGTATTTGTGAATGTAGCTTGTCCAATTCCACTCCTTGAGAACAGCAGCTATTTCACTGATACTTGTTTCTAAGAGCACATTATACAAAGAATATGCCCAGTAAAGGACTGTGCAAATGAATGGTGTCCTTAAGACAGGATGAGATCTGCAAGGACTGAATAGAGAAAGAGTTCATTTACTTTCTTTCCCCTTTCATATTTATTTATTTAAGTTGTGGTAACATACATATAGCATAAAACTTACCGTCTTAACCACTTTTAACCGTACAATTAACTGTATTAGTAGTATTGTGCAAGCAATCTTTACTTTTTAATACCCATTAAACCTTCCATTTCTCCTCCCCCCGCCCCTCTCAACCATCATTCTGCTGTCTATCTCTATGTCTGTTATTCCCCTCAGTACCTCCTCTCAGGTACTATCCTCAGTACCTCCTATCAGTGGAATCATACATCATTTATCTGCTTGTGACTGGCTTATTTCACTTAGTGTGAGGTCTTTAAGGTTCATTCATGTTGTGCATGGACAGAATTTCCTTCCTATGTAAGACTGAATAATTCTACATTTTATGTATAGCCCATATTTTTTTAAAAATCCATTCATCCATCCATGGACATTGGGATTGCTTCTACTTTTTGGCTGTTGTGAATTCTTTCCTATTTCTTTTTTTTTTTTTTTTTAGTTTGTTTTTTTTTGTTGTTGTTGTTGTTTTTCTCCGGTACCGGGAACCGAACTCATGACCTTGCGCTTGCCAGGCAGGCGCTTTTGCCGCTGAGCTAAATCCCCAGCCCCTTCTTTCCTATTTCTTAAATAAATGTAAATATTTAGTCTGAAACTGGTCTCTGAGGTAGAGTGTATAACCTTAGCTGCCCTTTCTAGGCAGCCTCTTTTAGAAACAGATGTGAGGGAGATCAGGGACATGGCTCTTTAGACAGTTTTGTCTGAATCTGACCATTTCATCCTCTGAGAAACAAGAAAAATCCTTTATCTCAATATTATATTTGTGGGCTAATACTGGCCAACAGCTCCCTCTATCATTCAATCTGCCAAAAACATTTTGTCACATTTTCCAAATGAAAACTATGGGTAAGACCAGGAACTATGATCCAGTGACCTACAGAATGGGCAAATACTTTCTACCTTCAGTATGCTTAAAGTCTTTAGGAAATAAGAGAGACTATGGGCAGTGTGGTTCAAAGACTGCTAGGCAGGCCCAGAGAGTCTCCTAGCAGATCTGAAGGATCTCTTTTCTACTGATGAATCTCAGACTAAATTTTCTTTCCTCTGAAACAACATATTACAAGCTGGGCATGGTGGTGTATGCCTGTAATCTCAGCACTCAGGAGACTGAGGCAGGAGGACTGACACAAGTTTAAGGCCAGCATGGCTGCATAGTGAGTTCTAGGCCAGCCTGAACTACATCGCGAGCCTCTGTCTCAAAAAACAAGCAAGCAAACAGACAAACACCCAACATACTGCAATGGACAATGTAGAAACATTGTGGGAAACCATAGTCTTCTTTTGAGCCAGATATTGAAGAATTTTGCAAAACTAGCTCAGTGTCAGTCTTCCCACTGCTTTTGTTTGTTTTGGAAAAGATAGTTATTTTCCATAAAATGTTTAGTTATAGTAAAATAGTCTGGATTTATTATTATTATTTATTTGTTTTGTTATGCTTTTGTGCTGGGGATGGAACTCAGAGTCTAGAGCATGCTTAACATATACTATATCTCTGAACTGTTCCCACAGCCCTATTGCTATTTTTAAATGAATTTAAAATAAATATTTCAAAATTTTGTTTTAATGTTTAATATGGCAATTTATTCATTTATTTGTCTTTTTGAGACGGTCTTGCTCTGCAGTTCAGGCTGGCCTTGAGCTTACTTTGTAGCCCAGGCTGGTCTCAAACTTGCAACGATCGTCCTTCCTCAGCCTCCTGAGTGCTGGGATTACAGGCATGTGCCACCATGCCCGGCTATACGGCAAATACAGATATATAACTCACATAAATGTAAGCTACTTGAGTCCTCAATAATTTTTTTTTTTTTGAGACAGGGTCTCACTATGCAGTGTAGGTTGGCCTTGAACTCTCTTATGTACCCCCAGCTGGCCTCAAACTCACAGTGATCCTCTTGCCTCAGCCTCCCAAGTGCAAGGATCACAGGCATGTGCCACCACACCTGGCTAATAATTTTTAGGTGTGCAAGTAGATCTTAGGACCAAAAAGCTTGAGAAGTGCGCTGCTGGAGGAAAAGCCTCAGAAGCAATCCCAGCAGCACAAAGCACACAAGAGGTGTCCAAACACGACTGGGCAGCTGGCTGAGGCACCTGTTTCCTAAGCTGAGTCTTATAAATAAAACCAGGCGATAAATAAGTAAATACTTTAAACACAAGTTTAGAAACTCCAGGCATGTGAGTTACAAAGCTATGGAGTTATAAACTCCTTTCAAAGCTAATCAAATGTCAAAGTTTCTAGAGAAGCTGAAATTCAAGCAGAATTCATTCCTCACTGGCCCAGTATGTGTGCATGGAATATGCACTAGAGAGCCATCACTGTACAGCACAGACCCTTTCTTGAGTGACTGCTACTGCCTGGCATTGGACTAGGTGCTTTGAATTACCTGTTTCATTGACTGCTCACACCACCACCCATACAGATACTATTACATCCATGTGTGACCTTTGGAAGCTTGGGGCTGGGGTTTAGCTCAGTGATAGTATGCTTGCCTACACCTTAAAAAGTCTAGAATGAAACATCCCACTGGTAGAGATAGTTGGCATGTGATGATTTGTTTCCAATGGACAAAGAATATTTGATTTCCCATTTGTGCATGTTTACTATGTAACTCTGGTGTTTAGGCAATAAATCAACCTTCTATAGCTGTTTAATTAGATACAGGTGACCTACTTTTCTCATGATGACTTCTTCATGGATCAAGCTTTTAATAAACATTGTTGTATAGGCACAGACTTTTTCTAGAGGGATTCAGAAGAAATGGACCAGTGACTTCCATTGGAGGGAACTGAGTGACTGAAGCTCAAGGTGACACTATTCGTACCATTTGTAAGTATCGCTTACTGTATTTTACTTTCTTTTGTTTTAGGTGATGGGAATGGAGCCCAGAGGCCAGTGCATGCCAGCAAGTGCTGGCAAGTGCTGGCTCTACACCGAGCCATGCCCCCAGTCCCGGTACTATATTTAAAAAAAAAAAACAAAAAAAAAAAACACAGATTTTAAATACTAATGAAAAAAGACCCAAGTCATCACAAGTTAGGAAATGCTCTGTCTGTAGCGTCAGCTGAATATGGCAGACTTGGTAGGTAGTGCTGTCTGGTTTCTGGGAAATTCAATCACTTGCCTGCCCGACTCACATCAAAAGCTCTGTGGCTGAACAGCTCATGTCTGAGTGTGATAGCAAAGCAGACACTCAGAAGCAGTTATCTGCAGTTTAAAAGTTTGGAGTCTTCCCAAAATAGCACAAAGAGACTCACTCAAGGGAATAGACATCTGCAAATCTGATGAAAAGGTCAGTAGAAAACTGTTTCATTCATTCCAGGAAACAAGGCATATCCCAGGGCATCCATTTTTCAGTATCCTTCCCCTTCCCAGGAGCAGCCCCAACACATCAGTGCTGGCCTTAAAACTTCCTCTGCATTGCGCTGTAATTGTCTGAACTCCCATGAGAAAAACTGACTTCTGCTCCTGTGAACAAGTCCATTCCTAATTTCTTCTAAAAGGCAATGGATAAAATTTTGTTTATAGACAGTATCTTTTTATCAACTGGAGACTGAACCCAGGACCCTCATACTGAGCTACATTCCCATTCATTTTTCCAGATAGGTTCTTGCTGAGTCACTAAGCTGCCTAGTCTTGGCTTGGACTTGCAGTCTTCCTGCCTCAGCCTCCAGGAGTACCAGGATTACAGTTGTGCTTCACTGTGCCCAGCACAAAGCATCTAAGTAATAAACTTGGCAACTCTGAGGTAGGTCCTAGTTTTACTTCCCTTTCATCATATAGGCAAATTGTCTCAAGATCACACATTGTAGAACTGGCAGAACTAGGATTAAAATGTTTTGATGCTGAGTTCCTTGTTTTTTGCCATGGTGGGGAACAAACCTAGGGCTGCTGCCACTGAGCTACCACCCCAGCCTGAGTCCCTGCTCTTGCTTATGGACTGTTCCTTACTTGGCTAAGCATCAGCAGTGTGCTGATTTCAGTGCCAGAGGGGGAAGATTACAGCCTTCAAAATTCTTATCTATCACCTATATTGGAATAAGTTGCTGAAAATAAGCTAAGTCTAATTCCTAATCAAAATTTCAATTTATGATGAGAGTAATGCACCTGGGTTCACACTAGGTACCAGATTTATATAGTCAAAAGTTGTTGAATTTAATCTGGTATGAAATTTGATTTTTATGCAGCTTTTGGGGTCCTAAAGGATGTTGGTTAAGAATAAAGACAAAAACTAGCTGGGCATAGCACTGCATGCCTATAATCCCCAGCACTCAGGAGGCTGAGGTAGGAGGATTGCCACAAGTTCAAAGCCAGCCTGGGCTCCATAGTGAATTCAAAGCCAGCCTGAACTACATAGTGAGACCTTGTCTCAAAAGGAAAAAAAAGCTAAAAACCAAAACGAGAATGAAGGGCTGGGGATTTAGCTCAGCGGCACACAGCGCCTGCCTGGCAAGCGCAAGGCCGTGAGTTCGATCCCTGGTACCGGGAAAAAAACAAACAAACAAACAAACAAAACAAAAAACCAAAACAAGAATGAAGATAACACTGAAATAAGAAAATATGAACTACAGGCTTTACTGGCTGGCTGACCTATTATAATAATCATGAGACACACCATCTATTTATAAGGTGTATGTATTTTACATATATCTTGATCTAGTTTTCCGTATTCATATGGTTCTAAGAATTACAGTTAGCTGAGCATGTGGGCACAGCCTATAATCACAGCATGCTAGGAGGCTGTGGTAAGGAGGGTCACAAACTCAAGTCCAGCCTGGACAATTTAGACTTCCTAAGACCTTGTCTCAAAAGAAGGGATGGAGATATAACTCAGTCTCAGTGCCCTGGGTTCAATCCCTAGTACAAAACAATCAATCAATCAATCAAATGAAAAACAGCCCACATGAGATGCACATGGAAATTATTTCGCTTCAGACCTACTGAATATACAATCTGTAGGCAAGAGGACAGGAACTAATATACCACCCAAGTAACTCATAAAATCAGGCAGGCCTGGTGGACTGCTACTGCTAGTTTTCACAACCTTAAAGATATGTGTTTCTAGCTTCTCACATAGGGATCAAAAAACTGGGCTGGGGGTGTAGTTCACTGGTAGAGCACTTGCCTAGCATGTGTGAGGCCCTAGGTTCCATCTACAGCACTGAAAACATAAGAAACAATGCTGTTGGATGCATTTTAATCAATCATTTTTCACAGGGGCAGGGAAGATTTTAGATGTGATCCTGGAGCTAAATCAAGAATGAAGTTAGACCTAGAGTCTAAGCCTTGGACACCAGTGGGGACCAGGCAGCTGAAGGAAACAAGAGAAGGAGTCAAGCCCTCAGCCCTACTGCCTGATGCAATGCAGGAGCCAGGTGATTCTGTGTGGAGTCTCACACATCTTCAGTGTTGGAAATTAGTAAAAGTCATAAAAAAATATTAAAATCACCTGAGTCAAATGTCATCTAGGGGTTGGTACTTCTGTGAGTTAGCTCCAGAATTTTAGTTACCTAGAACAGGGGAGGACCAGGCAGCACCAGAATCTAGTGAGGCCTGAGTATGTCAGTTCATGTTGTAACTAGGAACTCCATGTGCCAACTCCTGTCATGACTGGCTGAATGGGGCAGACTTCTGCTTTAGGGGCAAGAGCCAGGCTCTTCTCTTCCCCTAGAATGAGAGCTCAGGCAGAGGCAGGCCTGTCCTAACCCTACCAATGGGCTTTTACTGGTCCACAGATTAAACATATGCAAGACTAGCAAAGGAGAATTGGATTTCATTTATAAAGTGATGTAAATACCATTTGGAGTTGGGAAATAGCTCCAATTTTATTCATAAAATTATTAATCAAAATTGCAAAAATAGATTTACAGAGCCAGATATCAACAACAAAACAGGAAGGCAATAAAACATTCCAGAGATATCTTGAGAAGTTCCAGAGAAGCACGGGCTAAGCTAGCCATCTCCAGTTAAACCATAACTGCAGGACAGGTTATGTTCACTCCTGCATTTTCTCCAAGAGCTCTTCCTTGTATTTGCCTTTCTCTTTTCCAACTTGTCGAGACTTGGCTTTGCGTTCAAGAATTTTTTTTCTGTCTTTGTCCAGTTTTAGCCTGGTGATAACCACCTGTTAGAAAAACCAACAGATCTTTAAGTGTAAGGAACTTATAATCACCACCATCTTGAGGTGTGTATGTAACCCCAACACTTGACAAACTGAAGCAAGAGGACTGCCACAAGTTTCCAAGTCCAGCCTGAGCTACATAGGAAGACCCTGTCTCAAAAAACCGAACGAACAAACAAAAAAAACCCAACTGACAGGGCCAGGTGTGGTGGCACCCACCTGTAATTCCAGCACTCAAGCTAAGGCAGGATATCGCTGTGAGTTCAAGGCCAGCCTGGGCTGCAAAGTGAGCTCAAGACCAGGCTATACTACACAGTGTGACGCTGTCTCAAAAAAAAAACAAAAAACAAAACAAAAAGAAAACCCCAACCAACAAATTAACCAACTAAGCAACCAATCACCATCATCCTGAAGGGCAGAACTTCCCCTGACAATAAATACCACTGAGGTTCCTTTTTATTTTAGTTTGTCTGTGTATCTATCTATTTATTTACTTATTTATTTATTTGAGACAGGGTCTTGCCATACAGTTCAGGCTGGCCTCGCACTTGCAGCAGTCCTCCTGTTTCAGCCTCCTGAGTGCCTGAATGACAGGCATGCACCACCATGCCTGGCTTCTTTTTACTCTAGCCTCCCACGCCTGTAATTCCTGAGGATTCAGTTGACCATTTAGATAGATTAATGAATGATATGTCATCTGGGTTAGGAAAATTTGTTCATTATTCCTTGGCTGGCATGATGCAGTGCTTTAAGATGCAGCTACTCAGGAATACAGATATTACGAAGTCAAGACCCTGACCATTCTGCTTTTAAGATCTGGAACTCAGGAAAATGACAGATCCTATAACATAATATAAAACAAGAGTGCAAAAGCTGAATAGCATATCCTACCAGATGGGCGTGAAGGTCCCAAGAAGAGATGTTCCCCTTCTCCCTCTGGACTAGTGGGCCTGGCTAGTGGGACAGTGATGCTTAGAATATCTAGGGCCCTCTTGCCACCAGCCCCAAGATATTACTGGAATGGCAAAACAGAAAATCAATCGAGCCTGCCTGGTCTACCTCTAGGCTCTTACCTTGGGCACCTGTGCACATGGTACCAATGTGCCCCTAACTACACCATTTAAATGGCTGCTGCCACCACTGAGTCGGGAACCATACCTTGCTTGGGTGAATGCCCACGTGGACAGTCGTGCCATTAGCCTTCTCACGCTGTACCCGCTCAATGTAGATGACGTATTTCTTTCTGTACACCTGAACTACCTTGCCGATCTGCTGACCTTTGTAGTGTCCTCGAACCACCTAAGAGAAAGTACAAAAGAGAACCCCATTCTTCCTGCATGAACGTCATGATGAGGAAGCTAATTATCCTCATGTAGGCTACTGTTTTGGTTACTTTTCTCTCACTGCTGAGACAAAATACCCAAAGCCCAAAATTAAGGAAGGAAAGGTTTATTTAGCTTACAGTTTGTGGAGGTTTCAGTCCATACTTGGCTGGCTCTGAGGCAGAAGACAGCAAGCAACAAGAGCAAAGGGGGGAATGGCAGGCAAGCAGCCTCTTTCCCTCCCTTTCCTTGTAAACAGGCTACCTCCACCTACGGGGCCTGTAGCTCTCACATAATCTCCATGCCCTCCTCTTCCACAGGCTCAGGATGTATACAAAGTAACACCCTGGCTTCTTGCTGAGTTACTTAGCCAAACCTCTAGACTCCCCAAGTTGACACAATGTATCAACCATAACAGTAACCTAATAACCTTTTGTACAAAAACAGATTAAGCCTTGGCAGTCAAAACCCAGCTGTGTTTGTTCTATAAACTTGCTTTGTGTTATGCCAGGTTGGCTAGAAACTCCTTATCTGAAGAACAACAACTAAAAACCTGCTTGGACTAGGACGGTTAGGACCAAACTAATCCTAATAATTTAAAAAAAAAAAAAAATCCTCAAAATCTAAATATAGAAAAACAGTTAAAGATAATAGTTTATTACTAAGGGAAATGATCCAGATATGTGCTTTAGAGAGAAAATAGGAATACAGGTGTGTATTCATATACTGTACCCTGAGATTCACATATATAGCATTTACTGCAATGGGATGAATAATAGTCTCAGCTATCAATCAGGAAGTAGGACTATAGATGATTACTGCTTTAAATTTACATTCTTCTAAATTTCAAGATTCTACAACTAAAAGAAAAAGATTTCTATGATCAAATAAGTCTCATGTGGTATTTTCCTGTACTGAAGATCTACTCTATTTAAAAACCAAACTATGACATAATGGCAGTGCACACCTATAATCCTAGCTACTTGAGGCCAAGGTAGAAGGACCACAAATTCAAGGCCAGCGTGGGCAACTTAGGGAGACCTTCTTTCAAAAGGGTTTTTGGGCTAGAGCTGTAACTCAGTGGTACAGTATGTGTTTTATGCACTAGGTCCTGGGTTCATTCTCCAGGACTGCAAAAACAACAATAAATATACAAAACAACAAAACAAAAACCAAGATTATGATTTTCCTGAAGGCCTGTTAAATAGTACATACAAGTGATACTGATTAATAAACATAGAAGAAATAAAATATATGAAGATCTAGAGAGCTCAGTATTCCTAAATTGCCAACCTACATTGTTAAGCTTACTCTCCAAGGTGATTTTCAGGTTGAAAAGAAGATGGCCATGTCTCACTGAAAAACCCACACAGGTCTGTGTAACCAGAGACTGTCGGGATACACTTGGCTGGCTACGCCTCTCCCACTGGTATGGAACACAGAGGAGGAAACAGACTTAAGGGGAAGGTCACTTAGTTTGGCTCATGTTGAATTTGAGGCATGTGGTGAGACTGTAGCAAAGAATCTGATAAACCCCTGGAAGGGCACGTGGCAATACATGAGAGCCATTTAGACATGCAATGTAAAACCTACTCAGAGGGCTTGTGATATGAGAAGGCAAAAAATACAAAGATGAGCCAAGTTAACATTTTGGAAGAGCTTAAAAGAAACTAGAAGGGGACGGGAATGAGAAAAAAAGCAAGACGTATCATGTACAGGTACAAATACTCTATAATGAATATTATATTATAAATGCATCTAAATGTGTTATATACATCTAATATCATATATAATATTACTATATTATAATATATTATATAATATATAATGTATTAT